AGTGGGAGTAGCAATCCTCTTCGGAATTATGACTTATGAGTTCGAGTAATAGGAGAAGATTATGCTCTAATGAGAATGTTTAAATAGGGAGAGAGTACGTGTGAACGCTCGATCATTTATTCAGTTGAAGATAGAGGAGCAGAGAATGCACTGATAGGGTTGGTAAGTAGCCTACCCCTCAGAAGAGGGGTCTAATATGAAGGGTCTCGAATAAATTGGGTCTGCATTCAGGAAAGCAGCAATGTCAAAGAATTGAATTAAAAGGCGAGAAGATGGAAGAAGATTGAATAAATGTCAATTCTTATTCCATTTAATTAAACCCAGTAGATGGTTGGCTTGATTGACGGCTTGAGATAGAGATTTGAACTTGCAAGCGAAGGAGGTGAACCCGACTCGATTTTGGTCCCTTCAACAATTTCGTGAATTAAGTGTAACAACACTTTCATATTTTGCGATCACATGTGCTACTTTGTCCATTTAATGATACCATAAACGTCCTGAGAACTGGTATTATATTAAACTTATGAAAGTTATGTACCTGAGAATAGTGGTTTTCATTGCTGAAATGGAAAGGCGAAGAGTCAACAGAAAAAGACCACTTCGGCCACCGGTTGAAAATGTGATCTCATTGATGCAGGTTTTTGAAATTATAAATTAGATTCGCAGTCAGTTTTCGTGTGTTATCCCAACTTTTTCACTTGTTCAAGGTGGAAACCAGGTGTTGTTTCCTTTTTTCCCTTCCAAAATTTGTGGAACGAGATTAGAAGGTACGAATGTTTGGTTGTCTTGGTTTACATCATCATTATATATCAGGAAGGGCGGATGTGTTAAGATAGCAAGTGGTGTACCCATATGCATGGTCGTGGGTTTGAATCCCTTAGCAATAGACGCCTAAACCGACCAAATCTTCCACCGCATTTCATTGTATAGGTCACATATGCATTCAAATAGCATCTACGATCTTGAATGGAAGGCGAATGCGGGGCGCATCCCAAGAAAGAGGGTAATTAACGCCAAACGTTTCATTTTTAGTCATAAGGAGAAGACATCAGGGAAAAACGTTTATCGGGCTTCGTTATTTTTTTTNNNNGAAGCACAGGCAAAGTTACAAGCTCAATTGGATAGTTCACAAGTTTCCAAGGAGGTCAGATAGTGTTGATTCTTGACTTGAGCCCTTAAGAAAAATCGCTTTGCAGTGGTTCCATGGTATTTGTTTCAGGAAATCGAATCCAGTCAAGTAGGAGTGTCCGCTAATACACCGGAAAAGAGACAACGACGTAAGAACAAGCGATAGATTCGATGTATTTCTTAGTATCGCAATTACGGGCCATTTTTTGGATCTGTGACGTCTTCGGTGAAAATTCTTTTCATTCCCACTTGCAACATTGTCATCTTGCTGTGTAACAGTACCAAATCACTTGCTGTTCTGTACTTTGTTCATTATCTTATTAAATATCAAAGTAATGTATACATCCTTGCAAATAAAAACTTTCCACGCCATATGACCTCAGAGCAAATGATTATATGGGCGTTGATAAGTCCTCGGTGGGATAAGCCGTGCTTTCGACATGTGTTTCGTTTTTTTGGATTTTTTTTATTTGTTGACTTTCGTTTTTATGCAGATTTTCTATAATTATTTCAAATTGCTATAATATCAGTGTTTTCTGAACGTAATTTTTGTTGGAAAAGTGGTAGGAGGCGACCGTATCAGACGTGACCGATTTCAGGATCGCCACCTAAGGCGCCTAAGCTGATCAAATTTCTCGTTCCCTTTTACGTAATGCTTAATGCCGATTTGGTATGAACATCGTGTAATGCTAGTTTTAGCGGGCTCACATCAGGTCTAGGTTCAGAAAAACCTCGTAAACTAATTAAGAAAACCCACTAGCCCCGTGTGGTCTCACTGGCTTAATCCTGACCGAACTTTAATCGTACGGTATTTGGCCTTTTCTAATCGGAAATGTGTCAACGGCAGGATTTTTGCTGCAATATTACTGCAAATATTTTTGAAAAAAAGAGCCTGTGTACACGTAAAGTGGAGCAATGTAGGAAAAATAACATCAGTTTTGGAGATGTCCGTTATTATTAGTCATATTCCTTCATAATTTTCGTGATTCTCGTGATCATTTTGTCCATCTTTCTGATATTAAGATCATTTTTTGCTAGTATTGTCATTGATCGAAGTACATTTCTGGCATGGGGATAGTAGAGTAGATCTCTTTAAGCTTTGAGCTCTTGGACGAACTACCACCAGAGCTAGCGAGAGAGCTTCAAAGGGCACCTTCATCCCGGAACATCCGCTCGTCGAGCGGGTTCACTATCTTTGCTCTGAAGCACGATGACGGAAGACAATCTTATGAACAATTTCGTCAACGGCTATGAAGGGGGTTTAGTGGTGAAGATGAGATTTCGAGGAAGAAACCGTTCATAATCCGGAATTCAGAGTGTTTCAAAAAGTCGGTAGTAACGCGAAACATGTTTCCTTGCCCTCCCTTTTCCTTGATTTCTAATAATCACCTGAACTGAACCCCTAAACTTCTCCATTCCGTGCCGAACCTTCAATTCCTGCTATTTCTTATTATGGCTTTCATATATCATGACGGATACCGAGGTCCTTGTACAGTGAAGTTGACCCGCAAAAAATTCCAGGAAGGAGGCAAAAGTAAATAAAAAAGGCTGGAGTTAAGGATTTGGCCCTGATAGATCCTTTATTTGGGATGTGCCATATATTCGGCTTATCTGAAAACTATACTCCTTTGCTTCGAGTACGAGCTTTGTCGCTTGATGGGTAACCGGTCTAGGGATCAGGATTTGGGGTTCTGGATTCTATCATGGACTTCAGCATATAATATTAACTACAGCGGATTTGTATTATCTGGTAAAATCTGTGGGAAAGAGCTTTGAGGAAGCGTCGAAGGAGGATTCCTCACTGAGTCGTAGGAAAACGGGAGAGAGGATGGGGTAGAAAAGGACCAGTTTAACTCTGATTAGGATTCCTCACTGAGTCGTAGAGACTTCCTTCAATTGTTCTACACTCGGATCATTACGCCAAAAATCAAAATTCAGTCCTGTAGACGTCTTTGGGTCCTATTGTTTTGTCCTTTCCTTTAGAGGAAGGAAGCCTTCGGTTTTTGTATCATAAAATTAATCAGCAACGTATCGGCTGTGGCATCCCGTTCTCTTCAATCACGTCCATTATGTGAAACGACTCTTTAGGGACTCTGTTTTTGATCTGATTGATTCATAGAATTGTCCATTTGAGTATGTCTGTGAATTATCGGTTTTCCAAATTAAGTATTGACCTAGATTTCCAAAGAGAAAAGGGCATTTTGACTGGGTGATAGCTCACGGGGTTCTCACGGGGGGTTGATCTCGTTGTAACTTCCTTTCATACGTACGTATACGCTAACAGAGATAAATCGAAGTGAAAGTTTTATCATCACGTTATTATGCGCACACAAAACACGTATAGGGAATGGCTGTGACAAATAGTGAACATATTTACAAACAGGACTTTGAATTGAGCTTCTTTCATCAATTCCATGCCATCGAAATCAGATAGGCAAAGAGAATTGAACAGGAATAGCCCTTCACACATGGTACCTACGTTCAATCGTGACGCTTAAAGCGAACAACACACACATACACACACTAGCAATGCTAAGCCTGACTTCACCTATCACGCTTGAAACCTGCTGCTGCGTCGTTGGCTGGCTGGCTGACTGACTGGCTAGCCATTCAGCCAATTTCGGCTTCCACCTGTACCCATCAAGTACCGTTCGTGAGAGCAAACGGGAGAGCTGATGGGATTTGCTTGATGGTACGAGCGGAAGCCATTGTCGCAGCTGTGCGTTTCGTTGCGACGTAAAAGGTGCTTTCAGCAAACTCGTTTGACGGCAGTTTCGCTATGGGCTTACGAGATCATGTCACAAGTTGACCTGTACTTCACTACGTTTCCACTGCGTGTTTCCTACCGCCTACCTAATGACTCGGCACTGATCACAGAAACGGTATCGCTGAATCTGGTCCTTTTAACAGAGTCAAGGGATGGTGTTTTTCGTAGTGGCTCACCACCAACACTAATGACTGCTGGTTCCTCGCCATCCGCCGATTTTTTCGGTTGCTCTTTTTCTTCCTTTGTATCACTGCTCGTCGATGCACCTCCATCTGTTCGTACCGAAAATTGGCTTTCTCGTCGAGCTTCTATATAGGAAACAACCGTGGAGAATTTAGTTCGTGCCGAGTCTTTTCGTTGCACGTAGCCGTCACGAAACTCTAACTCCATGTCTTCTGAATTCATCTGACTTCGTTTCTTCGACATTGGAAAAGAAGAAAGAAAGTCGTCGGGCAGTTTTCCTGAAAATAACAATTTCAACGTACACATAATGAAATTTCACCCAATTTGATTGATGTTTCCATTTGGGCATTTGAATTTGGGTGGCCTTTCCCGGTTCCACTTTACTTTATATGGAAAGCTCGACCAAGGACGTAGGCAGCGGAGAGAATTTTCATCAACTTTCGTTAAAGGCGTAACTGGCGAAATGGTGTCACCCTGCACATCCGTATAAACTAAATGGCATTTATAGGAGACCAAAACAAACACGACCGTCGGATCACTTTTTGAGGCCACGGAAGTGGAGTAGGGAGGAGGTCGAATAGACAGGCTACGATATTGCCAGCCAGNCTTGTGGAACAAGGTCTGCAGATCGTCGCCGTTTCATGCAAACCACCAGTCCCATACGCAATCTAATGCTGATCGTATAATCGCAACGTGAAACGCTTACGACCGTCTGCGTGAGTGGGAATCTCCTGATCGCCCTTGAAAGGCTGCTAGCGCTCGAATGTGGGCGAAGTTCAGCGCAAAAATCGGGCTACCCACCAAGTTGGCATCAACCCAAGGAAGGTGAAAGGAAAACAGACAAACCTCGTGAATCTTTTGGTCCACAACAGCAGGTACACATGATCAGTGCACAGAGAATAATTGGAATCATGGCGATTGAGAGTGGTATGAGCAACATCTCGATCTGAAATCGACTGCATGCCCGAAATTCGACCTCGGCTTCTCGTTTCCGTCGATGATTCGTCTGCTGCATTTCTTCAAGCAGATCCATCGTGTCCGTACTGAAAGAACGACGTTAAGATCTTTATGCAATTAGCAACTGCCTTTAAATCTTGACGATATGAATCGCATCGCCTGATAATGGTCACGACGCGAACGGCGGCCGACCGACCACCACATTGGGACGTTTTTTCTCGGTATCCGCTTCTCCTCGTCTCCCATGTTCCTCTTTCTCTAAGGTTTTTTCTAGTACTTCCGTCGCGAGCGCAATTTTATGAGCGCAGTCGTTAACTCGTAAAAGGTCAATCTTTTTACACTAAGAGATCGCATCCTGTATAGTTACTTGTAAGTTTAATATGGCTGCATTAAATACAAAACGAGACGTGATGGCGTTCATCATCGATTGCTGAGACTTGGAAATGATGGGATCGAAGTTCTGTTACCTCTACAAACTTTCGGAAAACTTCTTCGAACTGGGATAGGATTAGGAGTTGAGCGGCCGGGCCGGCGCACACAGCTCCGTCTCACCGGAGATGGCGCCCCGATGGCGAGGTGATCCGTCTTCGTTCACCATTACGCACTCTTCTGACACCGTACGGATGATAACGGAAGTCCTTCCGATCTCACTCACCCACCATTTCCGCTGGAGTAATAGATCGAAGCAGAAATCGAGCTCACTAGCTCGGAACCGTTACAATCGCTGGCTCATGTTGGACGCTGATCCGATTCGATTGATGATGGGACCGCGCATAACAATCGGAAGTGATTGGAAGTGTGCGGGTTCGAGAGTTTGAACATTTATCACGTAGTACGTGTAATACATCAAACTTTTAGCCAAACCGGATGTTAAGAGGACGAACCAGAAAGGTGTCACGTTGTGAAGAGACATCTTAGCTCCGTACGTGCCTTTTGTGCCTATTGCTGGCTCTTCCGATGTGAACTCTTTGGTCTTTACCCCTCTTGGATCAGTTATGTACCGGTACAGAAGGGTAAACATACGTGGGAGACGTAGCGTGTTCTAAGATTGAAGGTGATTAGGGGTTGTTAGCTGTTAGCAGACAGAGTGTGACAAAGCAGGCTTGTTTTCCAATCCAGTTCCCAGACGGGATAACATCTCGAAACGTTGTCGATGTTACAATTCACTTACACACACGACGCACACGAACCGAACACACATGCTTAGCTGGTTTTGGGCTATAAGGGGAGACAGCACTAATTGTGGGAGAATGTGCCCAGACTCCTCGAGATGGGTGGGAATCGAATGTCGTTTACAATAATTTCAGTTTCGGATGTGAATGTTCATTGGAAACCCTTCGAACTCTGCAATCAGCTTACCCGTTGGTGCCGGTGCTGTTCTGATAGCAATGCTTGGTGCAGGATCGACAAACAGGCGATGACTTCGTGACATGCCATGCCATAACCACCAATGCACCTACCAAAAACAGCTTTCCCATTTCTGAAATGGACTGATCAACGATTGATTGCCTCCTGCGACACAAAATAGATGTCCGGCCCAAACAGAATTGATAAATGATGGGAGGAATAGCAAGCAACAGCAGGAAATGGAGTTGAAAAGAAGAATGACTATCGAGCAACAGTAAAGGATGTCATATGCGCATCGATGAGCGGAAATGGGCAGTGTATGGGCCTGAACCCCATTAATCTCTATAGCAAACCGCGAAAAATCGGCGCAAAGGCGCAGACCATCAGAGAAAATTTACGACAAAGTTCGAATCTGAGACCATCATAGTCGTCAGCTGAAGGGCGATCAGACAGTCCTACTTAAATATACGTGATCAATTGAACAAAAACAATAACGTGGTATAAAAGCAGTACAAATAGGTTTTTACCTAGTTCGTACTGGTCACGTACGATTTGCCCCCCTATTTAACAACATATGAAGGGCAAGTTTTGGACGAGTTCCTAATCGAAAGAACGAATATCTGCACTTTAGCATTACATTACATACATACTACTAAAGAACAGTCGGGTTTCATCGATTACAAAGTAGAAATCGAGTGTGACTGTGGCTATGAACAGCTGTTTCATGGTGAACATACAGTCAGCCATTGCATATGGGAGGAACCCCTTCGGGCATAGACAAATCCTAAATTGACCACCTCCGGCGGCTAGGGAGCATGTGAAGAGCACAAGGATCGCCCCCAGAATGTGGCCGATGTGTGGGGAGCTTCATACGTCAGTTATAAATTAGCTTCATCTGAGCCACAAACCACCGACTGAGACGCCGAAAGTGTTCGCTTATGTTGTCATCGAATCGGGGTGAGACGTTCATTTTGATGGCTTTCGTACGGAAACAGATTGAACGACCGAAACAGAGAGAGAGAGAGAGAAAGTGAGAACAGTTGGAAAATGGAAAAAACTACCGGAAAGGTGATGGTTAATACATCATAACGGAAAGTAATTCCAGGTATAACGAGTCATTTATCAGTGCAATCTTGAGTACCGGTTATTAATTACGCGATCAAAAGTGCTACACTGAAAACCTCGTACCCGAATCGCAATCGGGTGGGCGTCATACGAGAGCGCCTATTCAGTTGTGAATATGAATTCGAATGGATGAAATCTGTTTTTGAGGAAGACTAGAGGCTGAAATATCCTCCAATGTGATGATGATGCTGGTAAATGGCGAATGACGGCGAGGATATGACTGACAGCGAAACAGGTCGAAGTGCTTTGGCTTTTCAATTTCTCGTAAAAAACTCGATCTGTTTAGTCAGAATCCAAGACGAATTATGTATTTCGAGTACGATCACACGTGGGTGTCTGATTGATATTCTGACTCACATTGTCTACCCATAATGGGTAATGAACCGGTTCAGGGACTTACCATACCGAAGTGGAAGGTTCGTGATCGCTATTGTAGGTCGAGATGGACCCGTAAGATCACTTCAGAGAGATGGATATCGAGAAATCAGTGTAGCTGTCAAGCTATCATAGCAAAGGATGAAAGACAATGATCCCGATCAATAGCAGCAACGAACGGAGCGACGGCGATGAAAACCGAAAAGAAACGCGGAGCGCGAAACGAATGAGGTGCACGGGCGAGTGGACACCATGGGCAGAATCACTGATGCAGAAGGAGGAGGTGGTGGAGGAGGAGGAGGACTTAGATGAGGGCCGCCAAACGTCATTGGATGGATGGGGGCGGGATGAAAAGGGGATGGGAGGTGAAGGGGAATCGGAAGGAACGGTTTTGGCGATAGAAACCACTAGGAACGAGGTCAATATCAAGCGGGGTGGGAGGCGTTGGAGGCGACGCAGCACATTTCGCGTCGCTGAAGAAAAAAAAGTTCCGCGGTTTCACATTAACTTTTGGAGACGCCCATCGGTTGACACAACGACGTTTTTCGCAACCCTGCAAAACCTTTTCCGGTAGACTTCCGGCGCTTCTCTGCGCTCGCCGTTTCCGCGCACCCATCATGCACGAAAATGCATCGTCGTTGCGTCGAAGGATTTCTGTGAATGAACGGACAACGATGTGTGTGTCTGTGTGCGGACTTACTGTGTAAACCGTATCTCATCTCATTGCGAAGGACGTCATTCATTGGTTTCTTGGTTTTGAATCGCGTGCGAAACGAGAAGTTTCCTCATCGTCAGTTGTGTCATTGAACGTCGACGAACAGGAGTTCCAGCCAGATCGGCGTCGCCTATGCGGCTCGTTCCAACGAAGTTCGCATGTGACTTCCCTAAACGTGCATAGGTTTTGTTGAAACGCCAGTCGTTTCAAAACGGTCGATGGATGGCGATGTCCTAAGGGTAAAGAAAACCATTGTTGGGGCTATTCAATAAGTTTTTTTGAAGATATCACACCCGTTATCGCCATCGCTGCACTCCATCTTATTGAGTGATGAATCTAGCAGCCATCTGGAAGGTTGGAATGATGTAGGAGTACTTCAACATTGACCAACCCTACTTTGGAGCACGCCTTGTACATGGATTCAAAAGGGAGCGATAACGCCGCCTGCAGGTTCACCAGGTCCATACAGCAGTTTGCTCATACCAATTAGAAGGCAGGTCGGCATTTCTGCCCCCAGGTGATCTCTGAAGTATTCTGCTACAGATAAGCCGATAGAGTAAAAAAAAGTCGTTGAGCCAGGATCTGATCCTTCGACCAGGCGTGGCATAGTGACGGCGCCATGTGCCACTGTGCCACCTCCGCCAACTACATGCGGAAGGTGGTTAAGGACAACCGAGAAAGACGATTATGATGGAGTAGTGCATTTCGATTGAAATAATTTCATGAGTAGAACTGCACACGAGGTTGGTTGGTGGGAAGCTTGAACTCGATGGATTCGCCATATCCGAAGCTTGAACGGATTGGAGCCACTCATGAGGTTATCTAACCTGATCAGAACCCTTGCCAGTTCTTCAAAAGCTACCTAATCATTACCCAAGCTCATTTAAAGTATGTTATATGAATTCATTCGTGGAAGTGTTCCCGCGATGTCATGGGAGGAGATACCCAATATCTCAGGACATACTTACACTTGATATTCACATTATTCACGGATCATTTTCTTGCCAGATTACGGTCAATCAGATTGATTCCCTATCATCAACGGAACGGATAAGTGAAATTATCCAGAGATTATTACAACGGCAGAAAAGTTCTTACAAGCTTTAAGAAGTACAACATTTTCCCCTTCGGGTGTTCTGTAATGCCTACAGGCATGGATGATGAGAATCACGTTCACCCTTGGTGGAGCCATGACACCCAGCCGGTTGCCAGGGATTTATGTAATTGGCATTAACACGAGCGATCAGAGCGATTTCATGCTAATTTAGATGTCGCTTTTCGATGTAACACTCGAAAAGTTGCTCAGCATTGTAAAGATCCAAAACCTCTGCTGACCTTAGAAATCGCTGAAACAGCGCCAATCACTGAAAATCCATCGAAACGCTGATTGCATTCGATAAACATCAGGTCTAAAACCGGCT